GGGTGTCCACTTCGATAATCAAAGTGTTCAAAGGGTGTAGAAACAATTCTGTGAACTTGAACGACGGAACATCCAGGAATCATAGGCAACGAAGCAGGGCCAACAAGGTTAGAATTGTGAAATAGTGAAACTTTGTTACTAGCAATGGGAGCATTGGGGGATGAGAAAGAAATATTGGAAAACAACGCCATGGAGAACATTTCTTGAATTGTTGATGCATGGTAAGAAAAGCAAAGGTGTCTATTTATAGGATTCCATGCTGGGATGCAACTACTAGTAATGTATCCACTAGCCAACGTGATAATCAAGACTTAAAATTCTTCAAACTTTTATAGAACTTTTGTTTTAATACCACATATCATTTCACAAAATTTTTTTTCGTAATAAATTTTTAATAATGTCCAGTTGAAAAATGTATTGTTTTGTATTATACCATGACAAAACCAGGAGCAGAATTAGAACATTTTTAGAAAGGCCAAAAAAAAAAAAACACTTATGTATCATTCAATTTTCACACAAAATATGTGTATATTCACTTATGCAAGTTAAAAAAAAAATACTACACCATAAACTCTTATGTAATTATATTATTTGGATGAAAAGTAAATTACTAATTAAATGTCTAAATCAATAAATTTGTAAATGACATATTTTGTTAAGAGTAAAAAAAATTAATAGAAATAATTATATTCAAAATGAAGGATCAAAATACCATCCTCGATTGCAGTGGACAAAACTAAAACATGGAGCCTTACTCAGTGATCGTGACAGAACCCAGTCAATTGTAAAACAGTATGAATTTAATCAGCCCATCTATCTAATCAAATCATATCTTTCAAAATAAAAATCTAATTACTCTAAAATGTGATCCTCAAATAAGATAAGATGAACACAGATGCAAAAGGGGAAGGTTAATTGACATTGCGTACCACTCACGTCTGTTCCTCAAATAAGATAAGATGAACACAGACGCAAAAGAGGAAGGTTAATCGACATTGCGTACCACCCACGTCTGTTCTTGCACTATAAAAAGGAAAGGGAAACAAAAGGCCGGCATCGCGAAACGTCGTTGAAAAGAAGAAAAGAATTAAGTCTGGAAACCCATGGCTGCAAAAACCGAGTACACTACGCCCATATAATTGAAGCAATTTATTTTGTATGGGAGACTACCTAAGGTTGATATAGTTTTGCTTTAGAGACTAAGATTTTTACTGGGAGAGAGCGGAGACGAAGCTTAAGTTGTTGAGATTCGACCAGTCATGTCATCAGATATCTAACGTAAGGTCTGTTATGTCAATCTGCAATGTCACAACAACGTGGTCGTACAGTTGCTCTCTTTGGCTTCCATTTTTATTTGCAGTGAGATTAGAGATGGTACACGGATGGCTCTGAGCGGTTTGAATTTGGATTATTTCCAGTTTTTGACCGTCAACCAGTTTCAATTATTTCTTGTTTTTATCATTTTTAATTTACATGTGATTTCCAAACTTGAATTAGAATGAAAGTATGCAATTCAGATATTACAATTTTGAATTGAATTGAATTGAAACTTCGTCTGGTACAAGGAAAGGCGGACTCCTTTGCATGTCGAGACTAAAATCATCCTAACGTGAAACAATTAGCTTACTCAAACAAGTAAAAGGGAAAGAGATGACACTTCACTAGAGAATTAGACTTCTACATTAGTAATAATCTATATTAACCTGATATCTCATCTTATGTTAAATATGAATATGATTATTAAGATTTATATAATAATAAAAGTCAATTACTATAAATAATTTAAACTTAAATTTTTTAAAGTTACGTTATTTAAGTTTGAAAATTTGTTGGCTTGAATTCTTTAAGGCCACATGAGTTAGACTTGAAAAGTTATTGGGTCAATACTTGGATTTGGATAATTATAAATGATGTTAGAGTTTATATCAATACAATGTTGACTTTTATATTGCACTGGTGAGATTTTAAACTTGAATCATTATAAATGATATCAGAACATACATCAGTTCAATGTCGACTTCTATAAAGTTAAATAGGTTTAAATTTAGTCTTATCGTGTTTAAATGTGTCTAAGTGACACGTTTAATATTAATGATGAATTTTATATATGTTATTTATGTTAAATTTTATTATATTTGATGTTATAATTATTTTGTTATAATTATTGATTTTAAATTTGAATAATAAAATTATATTTAATTGTAAATACTTTAAGTTAATCATATTAAACATGTTGATCGTATTAGAAAAAAATTATGTTAGTCATCTAATCGTATTTATTATTCGTATAGTGTCAAATAAAAAATTTTTATGTTCATTAATCGTATCATGTCATAAAAAATTTTAACACATTTAATAAATATGTTGATCGTGTCGTATTATACAATTATTAAACGTATTCATATATGTATTTCAGATATTGACACAAGTAATTATTTGTGTTGTACTTAAATTTAATCTTATCGTGTTTCGTGTCTTAATTGTGTTAATATGATTAAGATAAAAAACACGAATTGTCAAATTTAACTTCCACATTGAAATGATGAGATTTTGATCTTATGAAATGAGGTTTGATTATAATTGTGATGTAATGTGTGATGGCCTTAATGAGGATATTAAAAATTTAAATAAGTGAGATTGTGATATTTCGCAGATCATATATATAGACACTAAGATATATAATCTTTAAATAAAAATATTCTATTTAGCTACTCCATCTCAGGTCATATGTTTAATCTTGTACTATTAATAAAAAATTTTGTGTCTAGTTTCCGATTGGGCAGCTTGTCTCTTCATAAATATCCTAAATAGGAAAGCTTTCGAATAGCATTGACTTGAACATGCTCTTCCAGGGGTGGAAGGTTTTGGTGTTCATCATAATTGTACATCAGAGAAGCTATCCGTGCTCCGTTGAGGCAAACCTTAGTGAAACAGGGTGAAAATGGATTTTGGGAGCAACTTCCTTGGTTCAGACGCTTTCATGTGTCTAAAATCATTTGCATAACATGTTCTCTTGCGCCTTGGACAAAAATTCCTAAGTGTTCTTTTATGTATAAATTGACATACGATCTATCTCGGCCTTCTTGATTCTCATCCTGCAATTAATATCCGTGATCAATGTGCATGTGTGCCTTATTTTGCCCTGCATTCTTATTGATTTTGGCATCAGGAAGCAATCAAATATAAATCACGAGCACGAACCTTAGATTACCTTGGCACTTCCCAAGTCATCCCACAGACATACAATGGTTGCAGCAGAGGATATAATGCCTGGAATTTTAGCCAAAAGATCAACCTCTCTCTTGGTTATACCTTGATCAACGAGAAGGAACGCATGGGCCAGCGCCACGTGTGCCCCTGTCGTCACAATCGCATTCTCCAGGTATTCTTCCGCCTTTGGTAAATGCCCGGTAGCTAACCATTTTGCTTCTAGTAGAAACGCACTGCAAAGTCTGGCCCACTGTTGACAATCAACATGTTTCAGTATTTTTAGGTTGGTGAATAAGAATTATTTAATTTTATGATAAAATATGAGCACACTGCTTTATAAGGGGAGTCAGTAGGGTCCCGTCCATGTTTTTGATAAACCTTGTGACTGATTTCATTAGTCATATCGTAACGAACTTCGAAGCATATCTTCATGTAATCTGCTAATTGCTCTGTTGCAGCCAAGCCCCACCTGCGAGGATTGATTCCCATCAGCATTGGAAAATCGGGAAATCAAATATAAATTGACGGTGTCATCGATGCATATGGTTTACCTGTTGACAGCTTCTGTGAACAGAGTTTGTTCATCAAGCTTCCCATGGACATCATAAATGTCATCAATGATGTAGATAAGAGAGAGAGAGAGGTTTTGTGAGCTCAGCCCTTTGCTCTAAAAAGCTTGGATTTGTGAGGGTAGTCATCGGCCACATGTACCACTTGATTGGTTGGTCTCTGGCAAAATTTAACTCAGCCAAACGGAGGTCTTTCCACCATCTGAAAATGACGTGAATAAAATGTAAATTAGAGGGATAAATATCTTGACCTGGACTTTAGGGCCAATGCAGTCATACAGGGCAAAATTCTGCCCTGGTTTGTTCCTGCTTTCACATTCAAGTTACTCGACTTACTTGTAAATTAGCATGATCTCCTTCTGATGGATGGACTGAAAAATGTTCCATAGAGGCCTTCATCACATATGCATTTGCGCCACTGTAATCATGAATAAACCATTTAACCATGAATCGTGCCAAGCTCCTGTGATGAGGATTCGTCAATGTATTTGCAACAATCTTGGCTTGATGATGATCAAGATGTGCCGCCCATGCATTTAGTTGCCCGTAACTGTAATCTCCAGCTTCATCAAGAATATACTTTCGTCCAAAAATTCTCAACTGTGAAGATTCATATAGCTCCATCAATCCTTTGACTTCTTTAGCCGCATTTGGTTCTAATTTTCCCAGGCCTGCAACATCCTTGAAGTTGTTGAAGACATCTGCATCAGCACACTGCAATCATTTTTTTTTCTTTCAAAAAGACTAATTCGATTTCGATATAGCTCTGATAAGGGAAGAGCTGGCACTGGCAATGGCTATACAGCTTTAATTCAAAGCAGCATCTATTTCACTAACGAATTCAGCGGACACTGTGGTTCAACCCTCCTAGATATCTTAGGCTTATGCTTGGAGACAATCAATTATAAAAATTAAATAAATTCTAAAATTTAATATCTTATGGTTTAATATTCACAATTATTGAAAAAATACAATAAATATATCATAGAATTTATTTGAATTTGACAAAATATAATAACATTTGACGACCAAAATAATTTTAAAATCCATTCAAAGAAAATCTAATAATTAATTTTTTTTATTTGGAGTGATCTTCTCCACAAGTGGAATTCGGCCTTATCGTGTGTCAATTCAACCCTTGCAAATATAACAAAAATAAAAAAAAATATATACTTTAAATAATTCAAGTTCAAGGATTTTCTATTAAAAAGAATTATACAAAAATAAAATACAAGAATTAAAAGAATTAATTAATTGATAAGATTTAATAAGAAGATACATCAATAAGGTGTGAACATCTAAATAAAAAATAATATTTTATACGCAAATTTTGATGAATAGTTATTAAATGATTAAACTTGTTATTATGTAAATTATATAAAATTAATACGAAATTATTAATTATTGTTATGGAATGTGAAAAGGGTGGTTGGGGTTCCCAGAAATTTGCTTGACAGGGTCGTCTTCAGATGATCAGTGAAACTGATTCATGTACTTGCACTGACTTGGGATCTTAATTTGGCACAAATTTTCTTGCAATATTCGTTTTGGGTTTCATGCTGTAAGGGAACTCACTTTCCAATAAAAAGAAGCTAACTAATTAACAAATATTAACCATGTTTCCAACCAAAGAGGCAACGTGAGACTGAGATGCCACGAAAAGGACACCAAACGATGGTCGTTAAAGTTTCCGAGAATAGCAAGGACCAGATCTCATTCTGATGTACTCAACATAGCAAGTATGGCTTCTCTCCCTGTTTGGATTGATTTGTTTCCATTGCTATCTAGTATGTGCCATGCATGATGGTCAATGGCTCATCCATATCGTACTATTTACGAAAAAATTTCAATGCTAATACTCAAGCCCACGATACAAAGAGCAAAAAAACAAGAGTAAATATTTATAAATTAATTAAATTAACTAATTAATTTATTTATCTTTAAAATAATTTAAAATAATTAATTTAATTCTTTAAAATTTAAATAAATTATTAAAGATATATATTTAGTAATTTTATATATTTGAATATTATTTTTGTCATGCTAGTCAATTTTTATTATTTTAAGGAATAAATTGAAAAGTAAAACATTTATATTAAAAAGAATGTAAATTTATTCAATTCTAAATTTATATATATAGAGAGAGAAAGGTAATTTAGTAAATTATTAACACATTCTTAATAAAATATTTTCAAATTAAATACTGTAATATAATTTTTTTAATAGTTATATTTTTTAAAATTATTACTTTTTTATTTAATTAAATATTATAAAATTAATTTTATAATAATTACATATTCAATAATCATATTACTAGATAAGATCAAATATAATTAGAATTCTATCCACACCCATGAGTTCAAGTCTTCCATACAACGAAACAAATTCATGAACGTAGATGGAAAACGTTGTAGGAAAGAAGAAAAAGAAATATATTTATCCATGTAAAATGTCGGCGTATGGAATCCATCAGCATCAAACTCCCGATTTCGATCTCAAACAGTAAACTAAGTGGATGGCGCATGTAATACGTGATATGCCTAGTCGCCGACCGAATTTGCTTGGTGCTGTCTTCTCGACCTTTCAAAAGAATCTGAGACCACACACTCGTTTTCCATATACTACAGAGAATTATTCAGCTGTGTTTCACGTTTTGTTCTTATCAGATTGTCCTGCACCTGTCCTGGTCTAGTGTGGACTAGCTCTGGCTACCTAACTTGTTGTACTGTTGTGAAGTTAAAGTCGGGCTTGAGAATCAAATCAGACGTATCGATATCAAACAGAAGAAATGAAAGTTATGTGCTGCTCACCGTATCCTATGTCAAAAGCGTTAAAGGTAAAACATAGAAGTCTGAATAAATATCCACAGAAGATTGCAAGCTGACAAGTTACAACCGTTGGTTTGCAAGCAAGTGGAGATATTTAGAGTTCTATTTAGAGTCTGAATAAAAGCCATTGATTATTTTAAATTAAGAATATGTGTCCTAGCTTGATTGCTCCAACAACATTTATAATCTGAGATATATATATATATATATATATATATATCCGTTCCACAAATAATGTTTACAACTTGAATTGGTAACATATAGCTAAACTTTTACAAAGTTTTACCTTTTGAGCTTTTTGGTAGTTACAAATAATTTTTGTATAAAATTTCCCAACTTGGAATTAATCTTCATCCACACAAAATATTGGTACATCTATATGTGACATGACAGAGTTGTGCAGCAGAACTCGTGCTTTTCACGGGTACACTTTCAGAGAGTAGAGACTTCATGTACTCCTCCAGGCTCGCAAGGCATTGATTTTCATCGTAACTATACATCAGAGGGACCATTCTTACAATTTTAAAACTAAGAACTAACTATAAAATCAATTGGATCAAATATTTTAGACTAATTAATCTAATGAATTAATTAGATTAAATTATTTTACTCAAATCGTAATTAATTTAAATAAATAATTAAACTGGATTGGTTTTACTCATCTTTACTTTATTATATTTATGTTACTGTATCTTTTGCATGAAACACATGTTTTAAGATACCTTCAACTATCATTTTTTCCAAAAGCTGTCGGACATTTTCAAATAAAAAATATGATTTCGTATTGAAATAGAAAAAAAATTGTGATTGTTGAAAATTAAAACTAAAAGAAAGGTTATGTTTGTTGAAAATAAAGTAAACAAATAAAATTAAATTAAAAAAATAAAAAAAGAGTCATGTCTGTTGGAAAAGATCAACAGGAACAACTCTTTGAAATAGACACAAATAGTATCTGTTGAAAACAGCCATCTATGTTTATAAAATACGACCCGAAAAACAATAATATCTCTCATTCTTCTTCCTCAAATATCTTTCAAGTTTTTTTCTATACTATTTTTCTGTAAAAAAAATATTATAGAAATTTGATAATCTTGTTATACTCTGGTGAGTGTTCAGTGGATTGATTTTGTCAGTGCAAAACGCCATCAATCACTGGGCTTCATTATATCTTCGAGGTTTATACGCTAGTAACTCTTTTGCACACTACTAGTGCGGGCGAATAAAACCTTAAGGACAATGACATTGATACACGCCTTGAAGTCAATTTCTAAAGTTTTCAATTTGGTGTTCTAACAATCTTAAAGTTTTAATCTCGTTCCAACAATGGCTACTGCAAATGAAACACTAAGAGAATTGGCTTCTGATTTTGTAAAATTAGATCGGTTTTAATGGCGGTAACTTTCTAAGATGGCAGAAAAAGATGCATTTCCTATTATCAACCTTGAAAGTTGTTTATGTTTTGACGACACCTAGACCAGAAGAAGGAGAAAATGAGTCTGTTGCTGCAACGAGAGAGAGGCAAAAATGGGACAATGCCGATTATATGTGCAAAGGTCACATCTTGAATGGTTTGGCTGATAGCTTATTTGACACATACCAAAACGAGGCTACTGCAAAGAATTATGGGACAAACTGAAAGCCAAGTACATGATAGAATATGCAATAAGCAAGAAATTTCTTGTTAGTCGCTTTATTAATTATCAAATGGTAGATGGGCGTTCTATTATAGAACAATTACAAGAAATTGAAAGAATGCTTAAT